ATATTGTATTTAGTAGTGCACTTTTTAAAGAAAAAAAAGTTACAAATAATTGAAGATTTAGTAATTCTCATTCTGCAAAAGCTCATCTCGAATCTCAATCTCTTGTGTTGTGTTGCTCATTGTAGTGTAGTTATCTGGTGGATCGTAGATTGATTTGTGTAGAATAAAAGAAGTTATGTTCTCGTAAGATGGAAATTTTGTTTGTGGGAAAATTGAGTAATTCGAGGGAAAAACGACCCTTATGAGCACGATGATTGGATTGAATTTGTGATCGGATGGTTTCGAAAGAGCTCGACATGACTTTTTGTATAATGCGTTTTCTTTCATTCTTGCACGTTTACTGTATATAACAAGGTGATGGTTTAACATGAATCGTGTTTGTTCGTGTGACGCTATTCGATTTTTCCAAACTTGCAATGCTTACTCTCATTTCATCTTTTAGATACTTGTTCATATGGAAATGGAATATCAATGCCTATTCATATTTACTGCAATATTTCCCCAGTAACTGGTTTTTTTGGGGCCATTAGTTTTGAAAATCTCAATTTCTACCTTCAAATTGGGTTTGAAGTCACAAATTTGGAGAAAATTGGGCAAAAGTTTGTGGTCCTAGGTTTGAAATTTGAATCATAAATGCATAAAGTAAATAATATAACAAAGTTGTTGTAGGTGAGGGTGGGATAGGTTCATGCCACCCAAATGAAATTTCTACCTTTTATAGTTGCGCACATGGTTTTAGTCATTTATGTGTATTTTGCTTTCTTTTAATTGTCAACTATTTGCAGTGTTGACCTTTTAATGCTAGATAGAGATGGGATGATTCAATTGTTTTTTTCTTTGCAATAATTAATGAAGTTCTCTTCCAGGACCAATCTCCATTGTAATCATCTCCGGAGGTTCAAAAAAAGATAAAATAATAGAGATAGAGGAATAATAAGGGGAGAAAAAAAAAGAAAAATCAATAAGATAAAAAGGGTCAAATAGAAGAATAAGAACTTCAATTTTTTGTTCTCTCAATGCAAGATTTGGACTGGGAGTGGTATTCATTGAGGTACACCTAGATATCTTTTTTAACAATAATATGTTTTAGTATGTCTTTTTTATTAACTATCTTTATAAATATTATATTTTAAATAAAATACTTTATAAGTGAAAACTTGATATTTCATAATATAAGTATACAATATTTAATTTAAGTATGGTTGTTTGATGGATACACTGTTTCATATTAGCATTTGGGTTTTTAATAAATTCATAGTATAAGTATACAACTTTTATAAGTATGGTTGTTTGATGGATACACTGTTTAATGTTAGCATTTGGGTTTTTAATAAAGGTTGTCTATAAGGGATTTTAAATCATAAGCATTGGTAAATTTTGTTGCCTATCCATAGAGAAATCTATGGGAGCCTCCATTCTAATTGAGATATGGATGCAAAAGTTTGGCATATGCTCCAAAAGCAAAAGTAATGGGGCAAAAGTTTACCCCCTATTAAGGCGTTTCTCATTATTATAAATTGGTCAAAAATGATATGGAAGAAAGATAATATAATACAAGAAATAAATAAATATAATGAACAAATTCCATAAGTTTTACTGCTAAAAAGATGCTCTAAGGAACAAGAATGCAATAAGAGGAGTAGAACACAATCAACAAAAACAAAAAGAAAATCATATAATAACAACAAGAAGAAGCACAAAATTACTATAAGTTCTCTAGATGTGTTAGATTTTTTATTTACATTTTTAAATAAAAATGTAGCATAACTTTGTGCCATAAAAGTATAATGTTTAATAGTGAAAGTATCAGAAATGGATTAATAATAAAGCCATCCTATCTAGAAAAAATGAATACTGCCTTCCAAAAGATCAAGAAAGATATAAAGAAGAGGTCTCAACTCCAACTTTTCATGCATTTAGGACTCTTTCTAAAGAAGAAGAAAGCTCCAACCTCTGCGCACCCAGTAATGTATAAAAATAAGGAGTATATAAAAAAATATAGAACAAAAAACAGAGGAAAAGGAGAAAAAGAAGGCAAGAAAAATATATAAAAGACAGTCTAATGGTGAGGGGCTCATGGTCTTCATGGGCATTTTCTCAACCAAACAAACCCCAAAATAAATAAATAAATAAAAACACATTTAACAAAATTTCATCGTCTTTTAACAATCTCTCATTAATCTAAACAGAAATTTTGTCAAATTCAATCCCACAAAAAATCAAAACATATTCAAATTCCTCCCAAGAAATCATCTTTTTTAACACAATCTTCTTGCAAGAATTATGCATGGCATTCGGCATTCAGATATGCTCGTTCTTTCGTTCGCTTCTAACCCCTTGAAACAATAAACGAGGAGCGAAAAAAAAAAGATAAAAATAAAAAAATGGGAGCGTGTTGTTCGTGTCATACGGGCGGTAGGTTCGTGAGTTATTACCTCGAAGACGAAAGACGAATCAGAGAACACGAAGATGGTGATGGAGTCGTACTTAGAGGCGATTCGGGTGCACGAATCCGACTGCAAGGCTCGTCTAAATACGTATCGATGTTCAGCATGCAAGGCAAAAAGGGGATCAACCAAGATGCAATGACTGTTTGGGAGGTACATTTTAACATTTAGACCAAAAAAAATGTCTGATTTTTCCTTTTCTTGATTCATTTTGTTTGTTTGTTTTTTTTTCCCTTATTCGACGTATCGCTTTCGATTCTGGTTGTATTTTTAGCCTCCAAAACACACCTAATACTACAATAAAAAAAAATGATGAAATTCCAGTTGAAATCCAACGGAAATATATTACAATAGAATCCCAACAACAATTCCAATGGAACGTATTACATTTGAATAAGTGTTTTTCTATTGAAATTCTCATTTAATTTTGACTATTCCAATGGTTAAAATATGGGTGGAAACAAAAACTCCAACAGGAAATTTCCTCAGGTATTGGAGAATGGTCGTTAGAATCATCAAATTTCAACTAAAATTCCAATGGAATGATAATTCCAATAGAATATTTTCGCTGGAATCATTCAAACGAAGACTATACCACTAGAATATCCTTTGAAATTTTCATTGGTATATATTACCGTTCGATTTTCCGCTGAAATAGCCATCTTTTTTTAATTCAGTGTGGAAATTACAATATTTCACATTTCAAAATGGTTGTATATTTTGCAGAGCTTTTCAGGGGACAAAGACATGTTCCTATGTGGCGTGTTCGACGGTCACGGGCCCTCGGGCCACAAGGTGGCCCGATACATCCGAGACTTACTACCTACAAAAATATCAAAGATGTACCGGCAGCCATGCGTAGAATGCAAGGCCACAGAAATCCGAGAAAATCCAGAGTCGAAAAACCCGTTATTCCTTTCGTGGAAAGCCCGACTAACCAAATGCTTCCACGAAATGGACGAGCAGCTCGAGGGAGAAGCCTCGATCGAGAGCTACTGCAGTGGCACAACGTCCGTTTGTGTTCTTCGAAAGGTACGATATTTTCTATAAATAGAAACCAAACGATTCATTTTTTTGGACAGAATCTCTCTGTTTGTTATTTTTTTTTTACTTTCTTTTATCTTTATTTTTTTTTTTTTTTTGNAAGGGGGAGCACTTGATAATTGCAAACTTAGGAGATTCTCGAGCGGTTCTTGGCAAGAGGGACGAAAGTAATCAGCTTGTTTTCGAGCAGCTTTCGGTGGACCTCAAACCCAATCTTCCAAGTTAGTGTCTTCTTTATGTTATTCTTCGAGAAATTAGACATGTATGGGTTTAAGGTTTTCACTTGAAAGAAATCTTGGTACATTGTAGTTATAACATATGGATAACCTAATCTTTTTTTTAACAGGCGAAGCAGAAAGAATAAGAAGTTGTGAAGGTCGTGTTCTTGCTACGGACGATGAGCCGAATGTATATAGAGTATGGATGCCTAATGAGGATTGTCCGGGCCTGGCCATGGCCCGAGCTTTCGGGGATTTTTGTCTCAAGGACTTTGGCCTCATCTCGACACCCCAAGTAACTTACCGAAAGCTCACAGAACGAGACGAGTTTGTGGTCTTGGCAACTGACGGGGTAAATAGGATGCAATATGAAATATAGCCTGACGAAACTACCTTTACTACCAGAAACAGTTTATGGGGAATCTGAGACTCTAGAAATGGAAAACAATCTAGAAATTTTTCCTGGAGTACCAAATCACCTAGAAAAGTTTATGGTAGTAAGGGTAATTGCAACATTTCACAGGATAAAATGACTATATTTTATTGAAATCAACATTGTGGCTATATATTTCATTTCGGAAAGTGAACAAAAAAAAACTAACTTAAAATTCGTCGGTTAATTCCAAATGTGACTTGGTAAAATTTCGGATTTTTTTTTTTTTTGTGCTGTCAAACGACGAGGTTGTACAGATAGTCGGGTCGTCAAGAAGGAGGGCCGTGACAGCTAAGATGCTGGTGGAGCAGGCCCGGTGGGCCTGGAGATACAAGTTCCCACGGTCCAAGATCGATGATTGTGCAGCCGTGTGCTTGTTCTTTAAGAGCCAGAGGCCTTTCCTATCGAAATCTGTCTCGGAAAAGACGCATTTGTCCCTGAACTATGCCGAACTCGACGTGAGAAGCTATGCGGGCAGCATGCAGAGTGACGATGCCCTCGACACGGTCTTGAACTGCAAAGTCGATGAGGAAAGCCCGGCCCAAGATGAAAACAGGCCGCCTGACGAGAAGGGTTCGTCTGGTTTGGTTCGTACGACGAGGAGGAGGAGGCATGAGAGGAAGACGAAGGTTGTTGATTGTTGAGGAGTGTTTTGTCTTTTCATGTGATCCAAAGACAAATGAACTGTTTTTTTTTTTAACAGAGTTTGGTTTAATCTCAGTTGTGTATAATGAAGCTTTGAAGTTGTTGTTGTTGTTTTTTTTGGGTCACCTCTTGGTTTAGTGTGTATTGTTGATACTAAACGTTTTGCTGTTTCTATAGAATGTGAAACTTATATTTGTCACGGAGTGCGCGAATAGTTGTACGAACTATAATAAGAATTGTAAAAATGCGGAAGCAAACAACCGAAGATTAATAAACTCTTCAGGGAAGCATCCCACTTCCCCTCAGAGCTCTTTCATTGATAGATCACTCATATACATAGTTTGGACTTACAAAGACTTGAACTCCCTTCAAATCTAGCCAACACTACTTGATCCTATCAACTAATTCTCCGGCCACGTCCCGTGGACTTATAAAACCTACACTTACTCCCTAAGTGTATAAACCGTAAAATAGTTTTGATGAACGGATAAAGAACTAATCGAAAAACAGTACCAGTCCTTGAGTTTGTAAGAACTCTCAGACTGAACTGAATACAACCAAAATAGAACTGAAGCAAAATGAAGCTCGAATGGCTCTCGAATATTTCTCTGTAAAATCTGCGGCCGCCATAAGCTTCTTCTAGGGTATTTATATGAACTCCTTTTAGGGTTGGAGTCTTCTACAAGGCATAGGACTTCAAACAAGATTTACTTCCAAGGATACCATATCTTTGGTAAGTAAATCTTCTTTTCTCTCTCTTTGATCTCCTCTCCAAGCATGTCTCTTTTCTTCCCCTTCCTTCTCTCTTCACGAGCGATTCCCTGTCATTTCCAAAACCATAATAAGATCTACACGGACTTATATAAGGAATATAAAATAATATTACTTAAGGAAACATAATATACAAAGATCTTCCCTTTTATTCTGTGGTTCCAGGTGCTTGTTCGAACTAACGAACTAATGCCAAAATAAAATATCTTTCAGAATGTTTTTGAAATTCTTTAGTTGAAGTTGATTGAAAGCATCTGACTTTAAATTGTCCCCTTTGGTTTAATAGAGCTCAAGATTACTACTTTCTCTGTTCTTTTAGGGCGTGATTGGTAACCGATCAAAACCGATTTTGAATAGTTCTTTCACTCTTTAACCGATTTTCACCAATAGAATAATTTTTTCACTCTTTAACGCAAAATCCAACTCAACTCTAGTCAATATTATTAATATAATTAAATAATATTAATCAATCATACTCACACATCACTTCATTTTTAATTCTATATCCATCCATCTCAAATATTTTTACATATTTTTAATCCTTTGGTTGGGTGGACATTTTTTATCATTTTTATTAACATATCTCCTACGTCACATCAACTACGTCACATCAACTTTAATTATTATGTATGAAATATTATTTAAATATAAATTCAAAATCTCATCCAATCCTTCACTCTATTTAAAATTAACTCACTTTTAACTCGAAATCCAATCAAAAACGATTACCAATTGTGCCCTTAATGTTCTAGTCTGAAGATTCTCAGCTGCAACATAATACAAGAACTTCAACTCATGACACATTTGTGTGTTTTATTGCATACTATTAACCAAGACAACCAAAACGTCTGCCCACAACACAAAAACACGAAGAAACTCAGCGTTATTACAACACAACCAAACTCGCATTATTACAACATGGACAAAAACACGAACAAACTCGGCATTATTACAACACGAACAAACTCGCATTATTACAACACATAACGAACACTACCAAACATTTCAGTCTCGGACCGCATTCAGTCCTCCTGGTCCCACAAATCGGCCACGCTTCTAAAAGGTCCATCCGTCGTGTTCACGAAAAGCTCCTCACCATCCAAAACACGCTTCTGCACACGAAAGCAACAATGCCCAAACCAAGCATTAGTTAAAAAAATAAAAAAAATCACACATCACGTTCGCTAAAAATGAAACCATTATACGCGCCTGATCCTGGATTGTGCAAAGAGCTTGAAAATCCTGATCTGGCAAAACCCAATTGAAAACGTGTATATTCTCGTTAATCCTCTCGGGATTGTTCGATTTTGGGATTGTGCTAGTGCCCCTTTGGATGGCCCATCTCACGAGCACTTGCCCGGGACTCTTGTTAAGCTTTTTCGCTACTTTTTCAACAACTGGGTCGTGGATTAGGTCCCGCCCGCCTTCCTGTGAACCTAAAGGCGAATATGCCTTCAAGATGAAAGGGACGAAAAAGGAATAAGTCTTTAGTTGATTTGGCAACTTGAGATTCTTGAACAAAAATTGGATTTTCTTTTCTTACAGTGACATGAATGTTGTTGTTCTTGCAGGCCTCGAGCATCTTGTCGTTCCTCCACCCAGGATGCATTTCCATCTGCAGAATACTTACTTTGATGAGTGAATATTCTTTTTTCAGCTTAGCAAACTCGTGATATTCTTACCTGGCACACGGAAGGTTTGATCTCGGCAAAACTCAGCAGCTTATCGAGCTTCTTCATAGAGAAATTACAAATGCCGATATCCCGTACGAGATTTTCCTTCACGAGCTTCTCCATTTCCCTCCAAACTCCTTCCATGTCAAAATCCAAAACGTCACCTGCTTTGGGAGGCCTGCTAGCTCCATCTCTAAGGCGAAATGGCCAGTGTATCTTTTATTCCCCATTGAAAGAAAACGAAAACGAATTAATCAAGGCACCAAAGGTATAGTCTTTCTTTGGTAATTAGTGTTTTTGGGACCAAATTAGAAGTTTGAGGTAAGAATTTCAGTTTTTGACCCAGTCATCAGAATTTTACTCAGAATTTTACTCAAGGGGATCCGATTTTAAATGTTAAATAACAAACTTATAATTTAAGTCGAAACGTTCATTTCATATAAAAATGTATTTACTAGTAAATATAAATATCAATATGTGTATCATCAATTTTTTAAAATATTATAATTCGTATCACCCTCAAAACTTCTACAAAAATAAATAAAAAATAATAATCGAGATTATATAATTTATGAAAAAATAAATTTTCTGGTTGAAAATTTAATTTAAATTAAACATTTGCAGCACATTGCATATCATTGCATATCATTTTGTTGATGAAAGTTTATCAAATGAACATTTTTTTAAGAAAAAAGTACATAAAGTTAAAAATATATGATTGTCACTAAGAAAAAGAAGTAAGAAAATCAACATTAAAAAAAGTAACAATAACTATTCAATTTTATAAATTACTAAATGGATTTACAATTAAGAGACCGAAACCGAAAGAGTAAATCATCGTAAATATTTTCAAAAATTTATCTAGAAATATAAAATATAAGTATTGTTAGTACATTCTTCAGTAAATAAATAAATTATTAATTTCAATTAATATAGAATAGAAAAAAGTTTTTAATTATAAATATATTTGTAAATATTTTTTGATTTTCTATATATATTTTATTTATAGTATTATATATATATATGGATTTTTTCAAAGAAATGAGGGGGGTCCACGGCTCCTTGGCCTTCTTTGGCTCCGTTCATAGCCTCTAATTTTTAAAAAGCTCAATATATATAAGCTTTTTTGAATAGGTATCTGGTGATTGTGATGTTAGTTATTCTCACAAAGTCAAATAGCTAAGCTAATTAGTTACCGAACACTTTTTTGCATAAGCTAATTCAATCTGCTCGACGAAACTAAACTGCTAATGCTAATTCAATCAACCATCATTTATCTCCAAAGAGCCAAACAAAACCACAAAATATATACCAAAATTAAAATTGAACTGCAACAAATACAAACAAAAACAAATTAGTAGAAATCTTACAAGATAGAGATCGAGATAGTCAACCCCCAATTCCCTAAGTGTTTTCACAAGCGCGGGACGAACCCTCTCTGCTGATAAATCCGTGCACCT